AGCTGGTATTGGGGTGCTGCAGCCCAGAGGACCAGTGCTTTTTAAAATAACACCCGATATTTAGGCTTGAGGTACTTACTAGGTCTATTAAGCACCCAAGCTTTTTCACACAAACTTGTGTCTTTGCTGGGTTAATCCAATCAAGTTATTTTGGCTTCAATTTGAGACTTGATCCAGTAACATCTCAATCTCGGACACAAGTCTGTCTTCATGGAAGAAGAAGGGCTTCCATCCGAGGGATGTTTGACCGACCAGTGTAAAAAGTGTCAGTGCTGTCATCCACATAGCAACGAATGTTGTTATTGCGTACAGCGTGAGCGACAGAGCTGGGGGCCATTCGCCTAACGTAAATGCTTTGGAAAACGCTAACGCTTACGATTTCATTTTGTTATTTTCTAGCCGCCTGAGGTTTTCAAATGCCCCGCGCTCTTTTTTTTCTTTTGCATTGGTAATAACAATATCAAAGAAAATGAGAGTGAGGTATTTGAAAACCTTCGGCGGTCAGAAATAACAAAATGAAATTGAAAGCGTTAACGTTTTCCATAGCATTTACGTTAAGCGAAGGGCCCCCTGATCTTTGAAAGAGAAAAGATTTATTTATTTTCAAAGACATTTAAATTGACGGATTAGTTGGCAACCCAAAACAGGAAATTTCTAAACCCGGACTACAAATGAAACCCCGCTCGGACGCTCCCCGGACGCCCCGTAAACTAGGACAAATCCGGGGAAACCCGGACGGATGGCAGCCCTAATTATGATTAAAATCACCTGTGTTTATCAAAACTACATACATGGTAGTGGCAAACTGCACCTATTCCTTGAAAGGGGTTATATTAGAGGTCATTAGCAACAAATTAATTCCCGTAGTTTTTGGATTTTTAAAATATTTTCTGACTTGCTGCCAAAAACCAGTAATTGTGAGTAAACTATTCCACTCTGAACATTTAATTGATACTTTTCTGAAAGCTGAAAAATTAGTGCTCATTTTAAAATAAAGCGCTTGTCCAAAACTTACATAATCTCAGAATTAAAAGGACTTTAGCAACAATAATTCGGATTTTTCCTGTCATCCTGTATATAAATTAGGATTAACTTATTTTAGAAGAATATTTTTAAACTTGTATTCGAAATTTTGTTCATCAAAAAATCTCTTTTAAGCTACAACTTGTAGTAAATTATCACAAGTCCCGAGAGTGTCCGACGACTCTCTATTTCATTTTACAAGTGTCGCAGCATACTAAACACCGCATTAGATTTCGATATTCTGAAATGTTGTCAAGTGATTCAAGCGATTAAGGAAATATTAGTACATTGGAACCGTGAACATACAGAGACCCAAGCACGAATTTTTGACAGTTCCGTAACGTATCGTCATCGTCAAATTTTGTATGGAAAAATCTACTTTGTTCTTACGTCCGATAGGGGCGCTGGCGTCAGTGCCAGTGCTCAAGTGCAGGGCTCACGGAAAAAACGCGTTGTACCACTTTTTGTTTTAATAAAGATTGTACCTATAAGTTTTCATTTGACGTTTTGAAATAATAGTGTTTATAAAAATACTTAAAAATATATATGATAAAGAACATATATACAATGTATATATATATATAGGTATATTTTTATATAATTATACATTATTATATATATTTTATATACATATATTTAATTATCTTAAGGACTTTACTAAGTAAATAATACCTTGGCTATGTAATAATTATGTTTTTTATGTGGTAAATACACCTGCTTCGATAGATAGAGTACCTTTTACATATACTTCAACATCGAAATAATCGGAACATAAACATCGGAATATTTTGTTAGGTTTGATTATTGATGTTTTTTAATTGCGCAGTATAGGTGAAAGCGAGATTTACCAAAAAAACGGTGCGTTCCAGAAAATAAAGAACCTTAATTATTTTACCAACCTAAAAGCATAAGCTTTTATTTATATGTGTCCGCCTCTCGGTAATCAAATCTTGCAAGTTAAAAATGACCCATTTCCGGATTCCAGTAGAGCTTTTGAAATCAGAGGACAATGCAATATCTTTGTTACACGCACGGACCTCCGTGGGTGATCTGATCTGATCCGATGATGAAGTCTGGAGGTTTCCATGGGAACTATTTAATAAAACAACGCAATCATATCGTGTTGGCTTGACAAAAATTTCACGATAATATTTATCTCGAAACAAAAACTGGTGTCGATTTTGGCATGATTCTCTTAATTTAAAACAAAATTTAAAATCAGTCTCTCCCTTTCATTCTACATAGGGAATGACAAGGATACACTGTTTTAAATTTTCAGTTTAGGTTTAGAGAATCATACCAGAATCGATCCAAATGTCAAAACAGATTGATTTTAACGTATTTATGATTGTATATTTATTCGATACTAGTGGTCCGCCCTCGCTTCGCTTTGGTGTAGAGCTGTAGTGTAGACTAAAATGACTCTTCATTTAATATAATTATAAAAAAAACTGAAAATGGTATATTTTTTGCCTTTTCCAAACTTCTATTGACATCACGTCACTCAATTGTTTTACCTTCCCGGAACCTCTCCACTAACATTTGAAATATATGGTATTAAAGTTCAAATTGACTTTTAAGTATTACCTATTACGAATCATTTGTATGGGAGTATAGAAAAGTGTTGCTTTTGAACTTTTTCAGGCAATTATTTAAATTTATCTCTTGAATATTTTCCCGCAGTAAAACGTAGCCTATGTGTTAATCCAGGGTGTCAGCTACAAGGGCGGATCCAGCTTTGGCGCCAGAGGGGGGTCATATAGTCGTGGTCAAGTCACAGTGGGTACAGATGGACCCAGCCCAGGGGGGGGGGGGGGGGTCATGACCCCCATAACCCCCCTCTGGATCCGCCCTTGGTCAGCTAATTCCATACCAAATTTTATTAAACCCACTCCAGCCGTTTAGACGTGAGGAAGTAACAAACATACAAACTCACAAACTTTCGCCTTTATAATATTAGTGTGATAATATATACATAGGGTGACCAACTTAATGGAATACTACACAATAGTGTACGAAAAATTATGAAAAATGTAGTTCAGTGGCATCACAACCACAGAACACTATGCTCTTGAGTAGTAGTTTTTTTGAGGTACACAATCCTAAACTACAATCACATCCAAAAAATGCATTGAGAATTGGCCCCGTTGCAAATAAAGATAGCACAAAGAAAATCATATAAAATCTGAAGACTGTCATGCCTTAAGGAGTCATCCATAAAGTACGTCACACTCATTTCGTATTTTTTTTTGCCTTTTCCCCGTCCTTATCAGTTGGTATGTACCCCCCTCCCTAGTGTGACGTCACATATTTTGCGATTTTGCATTTGAATTATTAAATTAAAATAGCAATTCCGAAATAAGTTCTAAAACCTGTTCCCACATAACAAATTAAAATCCATTCAAATAAGAATTATTAATATTTCAGTTTTTTTGATAAGTTCAAAATTATTAGATTTTAAATGTGAGATCACAAACCTTAGGACCTCGTCCCTCTCACTTAACGTGTGAAGTACTTTATGAATGATATCCCTAACTCTGATACCCCTAACAGCTAAACCGATTTTGATGAATTTTCGTATCTCGAGATCGAGATCTTCATCTCATCTCAGGTTATTGAAATATAACATAAAACTACTTTTTCACGAATATCTAATGCGAAAAGGGTACTAAATTATTATTTAAAATATTTCAATTTTACCCTGCTATAATATTTTTAAACATTTGCAATATTAAATGAATTTAGAACATTTCCAATAAACACTAATCAATCTATCATTAAAGAATAAGATATATTCAAAATTCCTATTGTCCATAGTAAGAGCGTTTGTCCAACCCTGTAAGGGAAGCAGTGGACAAATGGCCTAACTAGTAGAGTTAAGAACTTAATTGTGTATTATATATAAGTATTTCAGTGTGAATTGATAGTGTATGTTTTCTTTTATATCTTTGCAAATTAAAATGAATTAATTATACAACAGATAATATCACACTATCTTTGAATGTTTTAATATTTATGTATATTATATATTTTTTCATTACAAGTGAAAGTACCTATATTGGTTAGTGTGACTCACCATACGCACATATTTCATATTATATCATACTAAAAATGTGAAATAAAAGGATACATGCACTTTGTTCACTATATATTATATTAACACAAAATTGAAAAATAAAACATATTTAAAACCATTACTGATAAACCTGGAGAATTAATTGCAATTAAATATATTAAAACATAATTATTAGTATAATAGAAAATATGAAATACATTATTAAAAATATAGAAAAGAAACTTAATTGATAACAGATTTTTATAATACAAAATGTATTGATGATGCATTGTTTATCCTAATAGGACAACTATCTTGGCCATTTGACCACAAATCAATTGTTATAAGACCTTGGCAAGGCATGCACTAGGAAAAAATCATATTGAAAAAGAAAAAAAAATAAGAAAAAAAATGGTTAATGTTAAACCTAAATGCTCTTAGAGAATTTAACAATCAGGTTTGAAACAATTTTGGATAATTAGAAAGTCAACATTTCATAGCATGTAATTCAATATATTTAGTAAAAAATCAAAACACTTTTTTAAAATTGTGAAAATGAACTTTAATTCAGCAAATTTTATACTAAATGTATAAATATGATATAATCTAGATTTTGTTTTCACTACCTAAATAGACATCATGTTATAAAAAAGTGTACAACTAAAACTAGTAGCTGATTAAACATCTCAATGTGGCTTATCAATTAGTAAGATCTTGTAAAAGCACTTTCTTTAAAATGGTTTATTATACTTAAATAATAGATAAAAATAATGAAAGCATTTTAGCTTACAACTGATGTTGAAAATCCAAATAACAATCATCTTCAATACAAATCTTAAACTTCTAGTAAACTTGAAATATTTAACGAGCAAACTGAATAAATTATTATTCATAATAAGAAACAAACTTAACAATGTTGATAGCTCAAAGTAATATAATATTTTCAACAAGTGTCTACAGACTTCACACTTCACGGTTATGTGTACATGGACAGTAATCTGGATTATTTTGATGCAGCGTAATATTTAAAGATAAAATAATATTTTTTGTCTATTCATTACTGTATTGATATTGTTATGTTCAAGTCTTTAGTCACAGCATTATCTTTTTTGTGTTTTGAAACTAACGGAGAGAGGCTGACCATGTAAAACATAACCATTTAGTGCTTGTATTGCCATTGCAGCTTGGTCATAATTTCTCATAGTAACAAATCCAAAACCTTTACTTTTATTAGTTTGATGATCTTTAATTATTTTAACAGACACAATAGCACCATAGGGACCAAATAATTGCCACAAAGTTAATTCTTCAACTTCTGGAGCAATATTATAAATATAAATAGACCATGTGCTAGGTGAGTTGTGATCACCCATAGCACCCATATGATTGATCCAATGATAAGGTTTTACTAAAGGGTTTTTAGTAAAGTTATTATTATTGTTTTTATGTTTATTTGGATTACTCTTATTTGCATACTTAACAGTTAAAGGGTGTAAAAACCCAGGGGGAGTAGAACCATTAATATTTTGGATGGCTCTCTCCGCTTCAAATTGGTGTTCATATAAAACAAATGCTATACCTGCAGCTATGCGAGAATTAACTATTTTACCGAATTGTGCAAAAAGTCCATGTAAATCCTGCAAGGTAAGTTCATTAGGCAGGTTACATACGTAGAGGTTCCAGTCAGCTTCCGGTTTCGACGGGGGCTTTAGCTCCGGATTAAGAAGAGCATGTGACACTTTTAACGTCTTGTTCTGCATTAAGAGGCCATTAAAAGCCTTCCGAGCTTTAACTGCATCCTCAGGACAAGTGTACTCCACGAACCCATAGCCTCGGTTCGCTATCAATTTACAACTCTCCAATTTACCCATTGTCGAAAATAGCGAGAACATCATATCCTGGGTCATGACTTCAGGAATGTAATTGACGATAAGTTTGGTTGGTGATTCTTCGGGCCCATATTCGTTAATTCCGTGACAATTACCGTCTTGACACGATTCCGACATTTTTTAATTGTTGTCGGTGAATGACATTTTAACCATAAAGTTGCTAATTTTCTAAAGTAACGTTCAGAAATTCATGCACGTGGCGAAAAATTTTGGCTCAGTGTTGGACATAGACATAGTATCATAATGGACGAAGCCATAAGTTTGACAGTCAATGACGGATGGAACTGTTTTCCATGCAACTTTGTCTAACCTGTAGAGTGTACCTATGAGTGAAAGGGGCAGTTGCCACAATTGAAGTCAGTTTGAAAATGCTGCGTATTACTGTGAGTTGTATCCAACATGCCCCAGTATGAGAAGCAGCCATAATCACCAAAAATTGAATTCAAGATCATCACAACATTGCGGTGAACAACTGGTATTTTTATATCAATTTAATACAATCATTGGGTTTTATTGAGTTTACGTCACAAATTTTCTCTTCCTAATTGTATTAAATTCATGAATACAACAACAAAATTGTATACAAAATTCGCATAATCGAGAAATAATATAGTTTAGAGCTGTACTCTTATTGTTTATGATACTGGCTATAAGTGTACGTTATTTATAAATTCAGTCTGTTCTTTTCATTCCTTATATATCATGATAAGGACAGACTGTTGTCAAGTTTACAAAGAACAAACACGCAAAACCAAGTGAAGTGCCGGTATAAAGTTTTATCAATACCAGTTTTTTTATATTTTATGCATTTAACTGCTTGATGTTAAAATCCAAAGATTTTTTGTTTTATATAAAATTTGTTTTAGTTTCTCAAGATGCCGATATGAGATGTGAGCACATCAAAGCTGTTATTTTGATATCTGGGGACTAGGAGCCTACAAAATATTCTCGACTTTGTTCGTAATATTTTCAGACATCATGCTTTCTAATGAATCAAGACTCAAAACGGATGCATTACCACAAGCATTTTTTAAAAATATCCATAATGTATGATTGTTTTCATTAGTTCTATTTCATTACAATATCCTATTGCTGAATTACACCTATTGTTACAATTAATAAATAATTATCTATTTTTTTTTAAGTAGGGCGTCAAATGATCTAAACGACTTGACGGCGTTAACTCAGTCAATTTGATTTTTAAATTTTTATACACTAAACTCGTTTAACAACTGAAAAAGGCCTTTTGATTTAATCTAACATTTACAACAACAAACAGTAAGATGCAACGAGGCACGGCAACAGTTTGATTTGCAATATAAGCATTTTGTTCTCAAAAGGCAGATCGCAGACCGAAGCCACTCTTTGGTTATGACCAAATCCTCTATCCTGTGGAATGTGATCTAAAATTAAGATCTTTTACTTTGTACTTCCATCGTCCTCCGTGCGTCGTTCCATCCGTCATTCAGGCTGTGAAACTTTTGGCTTCGTCAATAATGATACTATGTCTATGGTTTAAAGTAATACATTGAATTCATCATCAGCCTATTAATGCCTCCATTGCAGGGGCACAGGTCTTCCTTCTGGATTGAATATGGAGATTGGGCAATGACTTACAATGTGGGCCTAGTGCGTATTGGTGGGTGCTAACACCTGCACATGTAAACTAAACAAATGACTTAACGTACCTTTCGAAGGAGCAATAGATAATTAATTTATAGTCACTTATCCCATTGGATAGAGGATTTGGTCATCACCAAATAGCGGCTTGGGTCTGTGATCGTGGAAGTTAAGAATTTTTCACGATCGCCAGATATATGTGTATATATGTATATATATATATATGTTACAGTTAAAACCAGATTTTAGATAGAACGCGTTTTCCCTAGTTAGTACTAGTTCTTAGTAAATGCCTTTGTTAAAACTAGAATTGACTAATACTCAAAATGGAATATCAGTTAAATATAGTATTTACTAGACAACACACACGTTTTTCCGAAGCGAGTCAGTTAAAACTGTTCTCAATAATCACACAAATAACCTAAAACAGGTTTTTAAAAATATTTACACATCAGATTATGGACCCTGTCGGGCACAGCAAATAAGAATTATTATAATAATGCTAATTTCTAAAAAAAAAACAATAAGAAACATTAAAAAAAAAACAATTTGGGATCTGGATTTATGATTTTATACAATAAGTTTATAATTAGATGGTTTTTTTTTCAATTACATAATTAATTTAATTTAATCATTTAATATACATTTAAATAATAAAAAAAAATGGGTGCGTGTACTTATGTAGGCGCGTGAGAAGTTATCCTTCTTTGGCATCGTTTAAAATTAGTTTTTAATTGCATGCAAATAATTAATTACAATAAATTAATAAAAAGTCTGGAAAAGGACACAGTCAATAAAGTTCAGTTTTAATTTGAAAAAATAAATAAATAATCAAAATATTCAATTAAAATCGCTACTGAATATAATTTATTAGAACATATGTGATTTGCACTTGTATGAAACTCAAACACGTATTCCGAATATACAAACTAGAAACATGTGGATAAATATTATAAATTTGAATACCTATAACTGTTACTTTATTAAAAAAATAAAGATGTGGTTTTTGGTTCTACTACACCAATGGTCAAGAGATGGCGCTGTAGTCTCCTGAATCGCGCTTTGGTTCCGTTGTTCCAGATTAATAAATACTTTTGATATTATAAATATGAATACCTATAACTGTTACTTTATTACAAAAAATAAAGATGTGGTTTTTGGTTCTACTACACCAATGGTCAAGAGATGGCGCTGTAATCTCCTGAATCGCGCTTTGGTTCCGTTATTCCAGATTAATAAATACTTTTGATAGGCCTTCACAATGCAGTCGTTAGCACCCACTAAATAGAGATTCTATTTCTATTTTGTTGGTAGATTTTCTTAATGTGCGGTAAACACAAAAGTAACAGCATGAAGTTGGTCGCTAAAGCGACCAACTTCATGCTGTTAAAATTTTGTGCTACAGTGATGCGCGCGCATCTTAAAATTTCACTCTCATCATTTTTTCATAACGCGCCTAAAGAAGTATAACTTCAAAAATATATGATTTTAAAAGTTAAGTACTTATGTCATTGTGTACCTTACTTTAATATTTCTTAGATTTTTGTTGCTTATTTTCTTATTGTTTTCACTCCTTTTTGAGAAAAAAAAATACGTAAGCATCATGCTATTTTCTAAACTATAATAGCTGACTTTTTAAGATCTCCTTTATCTAAAAGATCACATAAATATAAGACAATAATTGCTTTAAACATAATTTCAAAAAAAATGGGTGCGTGTACTTATGTAGGTGCGTGAGAAGTTATCCTTCTTTGGCATCGTTTAAAATTAGTTTTTAATTGCATGCAAATAATTAATTACAATAAATTAATAAAAAGTCTGGAAAAGGACACAGTCAATAAAGTTCAGTTTTAATTTGAAAAATAAATAAATAATCAAAATATTCAATTAAAATCGCTACTGAATATAATTTATTAGAACATATGTGATTTGCACTTGTATGAAACTCAAACACGTATTCCGAATATACAAACTAGAAACATGTGGATAAATATTATAAATATGAATACCTATAACTGTTACTATATTACAAAAAATAAAGATGTGGTTTTTGGTTCTACTACACCAATGGTCAAGAGATGGCGCTGTAGTCTCCTGAATCGCGCTTTGGTTCCGTTGTTCCAGATTAATAAATACTTTTGATATTATAAATATGAATACCTATAACTGTTACTTTATTACAAAAAATAAAGATGTGGTTTTTGGTTCTACTACACCAATGGTCAAGAGATGGCGCTGTAGTCTCCTGAATCGCGCTTTGGTTCCGTTGTTCCAGATTAATAAAAAAAACTTTTGATAGGCCTTCACAATGCAGTCGTTAGCAGCCACTAAATAGAGATTCTATTTCTATTTTGTTGGTAGATTTTCTTAATGTGCGGTAAACACAAAAGTAACAGACCAACTTCATGCTGTTAAAATTTTGTGTTACAGTGATGCGCGCGCATCTTAAAATTTCACTCTCATCATTTTTTCATAACGCGCCTAAAGAAGTATAACTTCAAAAAAAAGGATAAGAATATATAAAGTTATAATATTTTTTCTAATTTTCAATTTATTTTTTTGCCTCTCCTGAAAAATTGGCTTTTGTCGGTTACGGTAATTCATATTACAAGTGACGATATGACTCTGTGTCCTAGATCTTTTTAATAAATATTTTTAGGAGTACATCTTGTTTTCAACTTAGATTAAAACAAAAAGGGTAGATACGGCACTAGCCTCAAAAAAGTGATCCGCACCAATTGTGGTCCACGACCCTAATCGCTTTAGTCACAACTTGACATGCAAACGACGTGCATATGAACGCGAAAAAGAAATATTGCTAATATTTTGTGTTTATATGATAAAACAATGCCTAAGTGTGTTTTTAAAAAGTGTTAAAATTGCTAAAGAACTAAAAATAAAACCCACGGCATCACTTCTCATTCGTAAGTAATATATTTTACATAAAAATTGCTGTTTGTTTTGAATCTTATTCGGTAGTGACGTTGACTACTGGTCGCGTGATTGGTCAGTAGTGCAGTGACGCGGATCTCGCCGTCTCGTTCGCGCTGCCGTTGAAACTTAACGTGCTGTTTCGTTCGGGTCGGTAAAGCAGTGACGCGGATCTCGCCGCGCCGTCCCGTTCGCGCTGCCGTGGGATGGGATCAGTTTTTGTTTGATGCAAGTAAGAGCGTACCGTATCTACCCTTTTTGTTCTAATCTAAGGTTTTCAATCCCAACTTACTTAGTTTCTAGTGCTAGTTTTAACTAAAGCTCGGAGTGACAACTGGTTTTGGTTTTTCTGGAAATCAAATATATCAGTGGTAAATTCTAGTTTTGACTAGTTATTTCTAGTTTTAGCAAAGGCATTTAGTAATTGTAACTAGGGAAAACGCGTTCTATCTAAAAACGAGTTTTAACTGTAACTTAAATACACAGTCAGGTCATAAGTATTGTCACATAGTAAAAACTTTTCTTTTAGAATAGGATAGTTTACTCATGTCGAATTGTATTAAATAAATGTTTATTTC